GAGCAGGTCGGGGTGAAATAGATGTTAAGGTTGCGGTAATAGAATTAATTTTTCCGAATTTATTCCTAAGGGACTTCTCCCGGAATTGCCTCCTTCTAAGCACTATAACTTTCTTTCATTTCTATATCATGTTTATCATAGTGCCATGCGGTCTTCATATTCAAATTTACAAGCGTTTGTATGTGGTCACCCGACCATAGAATAGCTTGTATCTCCACTATAAATGACATTCAGACACTCATGTTTAGCAAGGATGCATTAAAAATGATGCACTTTCAGAATATGGAGGGCAAATTTCAAAACTCAAACATTTTCGTTTTGTGACGTCATCACTTTAGTACTCTATTTGGAACGGGGGTTTAATGACATCCATTCTCGAACACAAATCCTTCTTAGTTTCCCAAAAGGAAAATCGAAGGCTCTGCAAGGAGACCCAGAATTTGGATCGTATGATATGATGCATGATGAATTTTTTAACCAATCAAACCAAAGAATCATTCGTTTCCAGCCAGAGTCTTTTTTGGCAAACTGAGAAGGATCTGGGTACGAGAATGAATGACTTTACTCAGAGATGTTAACAAATATGATTTTCTACTCAGGGAAAATGTGAGCAAATCACACAAGATGCTGTAGAGAAGTTCTGGACATTCCTGACAAACTTAGACGCCAATGCGTTTGTGGAATTCATGAGGGCTAACATTGTTGGTACCATCATGTTTTTCTCTCTCTGTATTTGGATTCCAGTCAGCTGTATCATTCACAGGATTGTAAGTTTGAAGTTTATTATTGTTTTATCCTKTTTTTCATTTTGACATCTAACTGTCATTATACTGGGAAAATCATGGAAATCACATTTTCGAGGTTTAAAATTTCAAAAATTCCCCTGCTTGAGCCAGCGGTAGTTAGTCCCCGCATTCAAAAATATGCTCTGCGGTCATTGTCAGGAGCACTTTGTTGCCACACTTCAGTCCCTTTATAATGAGTTTCTGTGGATAAAGTTATCCACAGTTAAAGAAATCCATCCCTTAGATCTTGGAAGGGTATTATCCGCTGACACTGGAAAAAATCGCGCAATTAAAAGGTTGTCAATTTGATGTAAGTGTCCAAAATGATGTATATTGATGTAAATTTGATGTAAAACATTTACATCAAATTTTACGACCTTTAAAGCGCACGATTTTTTCTAGTTTGAATAAGGATTTATCGTGAATAGTGCTATCCACCCTTCCTACAATAAACCCTGTTTTTTTTCCTGCGTCCTGTACTTCTTATATTCAAATCAAGTCTTGGTACATCCTTACTGCTTCCTTGTTTTTTCCGCTAAGTTTTCTTCATGTTCCCTAGGTTTAGACTAACTTATTTTAGTCTAATAGTTATTATATGTTCTCTCTATTCAAGGATAAGCGTAATGAGAAAGCAGAAGTCCAGGAACAAGAATGGAGAGATCCAAAGGTTTGCATKATTTTCAGTTTTGTTTTTGTTTTGACCATGGTCCACTGACATCCCTTACAGGATTTGAGCATATTTGAAATAACAGAAATAAGCTTACATAGATTTTTTTATCCGTTTATGCTGTATGAATTGAGATTGTAAAATACATTCTTTTACAAAAAACGGACATATGAAAACGGTTTGTAGTTGTTATTTGAAGTCACTTTATGACAAATGTAAAACACGACTGCATTGAATGCTGGGTAACCATGGTCCTTTAATATAAAACAACTTATTTTTTTATTTTTTTATTTTTATTTATTTATTTTTTTTTTTTTGACTGCAGACTTTGTATTCTTSACATATGACTAATGATTGATAAGACAGTGTGCCAAAACCTAAACAATGAGTACCTGAAATTCAAYAATTGAATGTTTCATGTATTCATTCCACAGAACACTCAGCTACTTCGCAATGTTGAGCCTACCAGTAAAGGAGTCTACATATATCGGCAAGACTCGTTCACAAGACCTATGAAACCTATGAAACCACTAAAACTCAAACCTGTCTACATTCGGACACGCCAAAGACCTGGAGTTATGGACGTAGCGACTGTAAATGAATCACAGATATAACGTTTAAATTAATTCTGCTGTTCAAGGTTCGCGCTACTCCTTGAAATCCTTGAAAAGTCCTGGAATTGAAAACTCGTTTTCAAGGGCGCTTGAATAGCCCTTAAAAATGGGAAAAATCGCTAAAACTCCTTGAATCTGATAAAATTAACATTTTGCTTTTTGCTGTTTGGATTAAAACGTGGCTGTTTTTAGAAATCACCACTGGAAACATTCGCAAACATCAAGAAATATCTTCCAAAACAGTCCTTGAAAATCGCATTTTTGTGCTTGAAAAGTACTTGGAAAATCCTGGAATTTTGTAGTGAAAATGTTGCGCGAACCGTAGCTGTTACATTATGCACAGTTGTTGATTCACTAAATTCACTCATAGATCAAACAATATTACAACAAACTGCCCTATTTCATTATGACGTCACAGTATGTTTATATCGTGAAACGATGAAAAGAAAAAATAACAGTGAAAAATTGGACCCATTTATATTGTCTCCTAAAGTAGAACTTCAATGAATGGGGTTTTTTGTATATATCATGTGTAATTATTAATGATTGTTCATGTACATTTTATTTGATATGCAGTCACTCTGATCCCCTCTTGCAACCATAATCCTTAGCGTTAAAACAATAGATGTTTTGATGTTACGTCATAATGAGCTAGGATAAATAAAAAAGCGTCGTCAGTCTCTAAAATGGAAATAGCATCAAAGCTAGATCAAAGGGGGTTCTGGGTACTCAGGATTTTATCGAGATATTTTTCATAGAAGGCAATTTAGTTAGAAGGAATTTTGGGAGCTCGCAGAGTTGAATTGTATTTGGCTTAACATTATTAACATTTCTTTTGCCTTCCCATACTCCATTTCGGCCGTATCTTCGATGATGTTGTCACTTCTGAATCTGACAACGTTTTTTAATTAGGTGTATACAAATGTCATAGAGATATCAATAGCTACTTGCATTAAACTAGTGTTAGATTCTCAGTCATAAAAAAGAAAAGTAGTAGACAGCTGGTCTAGACTCCTTTGCAGGACGTTATTAGTATCGGTCATAAATTCCCTCCAAATTTATAACCGATAGTAATAACGTCTGCAAATGAGGCTACAGCTGGTCTAGCAAAACAAATTTCTGCAGWTGCATTTAAAATTGGAAAATTWGGAAAATCTGAAACCAATTTGAAATAATCACATCAAGTAAACTGTGATTTTTGCTGGCTACTCYAGCTACTACTGAGAGGCCCAAGGGGCCATTCACACAGCAACATAAGTAGAAGCAAGAACCAACATCAAAAGGAAAGACAAAGTAATGTCTTCATCGTCTCCATAAGTCTGATACGGTGACACAAAAAAATCAACTGAATATATTGATGCTGTAAAATATCAAGTTTGCTTTTAAGTATTTGGTGCATATCAGCTTTCAAAAGCTATAGTTTATTAAATGTTATAAAAGTTTTGATATATAACGCGCTCTCTGATTGGCTGACGACCGTGTCAGAGGACAGAGACACGGCTTATCGGCAAATTTTTCTTTTCGCTCGAAAAATTTTATAAAAGAAATATAAAACGGCCGCTTGTGTCTCTGTCCTCTGATATAAACACGGTGGGAGTTGAAAAACACTCGAGAAGGGCCTGCTAAAGGTAGTAGCGCGAGTACCACGATATAATGCCGAGTGATACTCTGTATTTGATTAAAGAACAAGTTTCTGCATTATTCGAGATTTAGTGACTATACAGTATAGAGGCGGATCCAGGGGAGGTGATTTGGGCGCGGACGCACTACGCCCTTTTTTGGACGACGTTTTTTTAAACATCAAAAAGTTGTACTTTTATCGAGAAAACGAGTAGCATGTCCGCCATGCTTAACAATCTATTTGAGTAGTGTAGTCAAAGATACTTTGCAATAAAAGTCAATTTGCTTCCCGGTCAAATTGTGCMTAATTTTCTTGCTCTAGACAATACACAGCTAACAAAAATAATCAGTTCCATCTGCTATACTTAGTTTTTAGCTATATATTACTAACAAAAGCAACCCCCTAGCCCCTTATAAAATGCTGTATCCGCCCCTGAAAAGACCATAAAAACATATAAAAAAGACCGTGGCAAACGTAGTAGGCTTAGACTTGTCACAAGTCAAACTCTCTTTGGACACATAATGTTGTTTATAAGCGAGCGTTATAAGATTCTACAGAGGGCTAAACGAACTAGTCTAACGTAATCGCCTAACGTAAACAGGACACGATTACCTTTGAACGTATTAATTTCAGTGGTTTTACAAATTATATTTTTGCACAATGATTCATAACCAAAGGGGCTTGTCAGTAGGGGTCTTTTACAGAGGTTCCGGAACCAGACCTTCCTTGGCAGGCGAATTTTTCTGAATCTCTTATTCGCCAAATAATTAGAGTATGTCATTTTCCGAATCGTCCAAAAATGTGTCCGGTGTGAATCCAAAATAAAACCTTTGCAATTTTACATAAAAAACGCCTTCTCCAGTCTTGAAACCGTACTAGGGAACAGAAATTGAAAAAAAAAAACAACAACAAACAATTCAATCAGGGTCTGAATGGGGTTAACTGTTAACTGAGAAACGGCTAAAATAATAACTGTTATGTGAGAATTTAGGGTTTATTTAGCTGATAACTGATATAAACAAGATAACTGTTAGTTGATATTCTTCTGTTTGCACATGTTTTATATGTAGGGTAAATTTTAACCCAAATGAATTGGTTGCCAGTTACTATCGCGCAAAGACTATCTGAGAGCGTGACGCGACCCAGATAACGATTCAATCGCTTTGCGTGTGCTATCACACACTCTGGCTATCACGTGTGACCAGGGGCTGCCCCCCTCCTTTCCAAAAAGAAAAAACAAGAAAAGAAACGAGCTCCACACGCTTTCATTTATCGATATGGGGGGGGGGGGGGGGGGGAAGATTTTAATTTTTTTAGGACTTCAGGCGCGCGTTGTAATTTTTTTAGTAAATTTACAAGAACTGTAGTGCAGATTTTTCAAAATTTTGCCTTGCTGGAATTTTTTTTCGGCCCTTCGGGCCATGCAGGATTTTTTTCAAAATTTTCGAACCCCCCATCATCAAAATTCTAATGGATCGCTCCTAAGTCTGTGATCACTGATCACGTGATGGACGATCGATGTGTGCCCCAGGTATTATGAATCTAAGTGCCTGACATACAGGAAAACAACTCTAGTTTCAAATACTCTCATATCACATCCCGCGAGGCACGGGATCATGACGTAATACAGCAGATAATCCGATACTATAAAAACGTAAGAATCTCATTCTTTTCTTTTCCCTCTAGAAATAGTTGCTCATYCTATGGTGTAATGTAATTTTATGTCACGCATCAATATAACAGATGATAGCAAATTTRAATTTGAGGTAAAACTATGTAGTTTCTAAATATTAAACACAAAATTAATAATTTTTGTAGCTTAACTGAGAAYCGACAAATTTAWCTGATAACTGAGAAAATTGCCAAAATTTAGCTGTTTTAAAAATGAGATGTTTTAAAACTGATATCGGGACTCCCCGATATTTCTGAATTTTTATTTAGTCTGAAAACTGGCGGTTTTCACCCATTGATGAAAAAAAAAATACTTGGCAGGGGGTCGTAGATAAATGTCAGCGGGCCTCCGTGTATGTTTGTTTCGCTATTTCTGATTGGAAGAACTAGATTAGTATCAATAAAATCTAGCCATATGTAAAACAATCTGCGGGGGGTACGTTCCACATTTCGTAATATAACGTCGACTCTCATTGGACAGACAATCTTAGAAAACTAACCAATCTGAGATAAGAATATATTCCATATCTCTGGGGAGCTCCATGGGTTGTCAAGGGCTGTCAAAGACACGTGTCGAGCACATTCTACCTTCGTGCAGCAAGGGAGGAAATTTTCGCAGTTCAGTCTTTGACAAATAGTAAATTTTTCATCAAAATGTCGAGACCCAGAGTATACTTCGACATGTCTCTCAGCGGAACTCCTGCTGGACGTGTTGTGATGGAGGTAATTATTTGCATGTGGGAGAAACAACGCTTTTTATAAAGATTTCTCGAAGCAGTGAAATTACTGACACAGCGAGTCGATCTTTCGACATTTTTATGAGTAATCTTCATGTTACTTATACGTATTTTTTTTGTAGCTTAGGGCTGATGTTGTTCCAAAAACTGCAGGTAAGTGAAAAGATAAGTGTCTTAGATTGCAAAATTTGTACAATGTGGATTATTCACCTTGCGCTATACACGAAGCGGTGCCCTGAATAAGCTTGGCTTTAAATKTGAAAAACTGAAAGATTATCAAAAGTAATAAAAGTGATCTCTCGTCTGAATTCTCAAGCTTAAATGGTGCTGAACAAATCGTTGCTCGTGAAAAGAGCAGAATATATTTTTAAKGATTTTATTTGAGGACGTAGCTTTTCTCGTCAAATGAGCATGGAATGTAAAAGTTCAACTAAAATAGAATCCACTCGAGGGGCGCGGGTGGGGAGGGGATTTGAATAAAGACCACGAAGTTCGTTCATTCAACTTAACYATGAACTTCTTGTGYCATACCTCCAAAACCAAAYTGAGCTGTTGTAAGACTTAAACACAAAAAGGGCATTTAYTTWWSYT